CTGACCGTCTCCGACTACAACTCTGACTCCGGCTCCGCAGCCCTGAACCCGCCTACACTCTACAAGGGTGCCGGTAATCTGTTGGCTGACCTTTGACCATGGACCACTGAACAGTGACCACTGAACACTGGCCACTGACCACTGAACACTGGCCACTGACCAGTGACAACTGGCCACTGACCAGTGCCCACTGACCACTGACCACTGACCACCGACCAGTGGCGGTATAAACCGCCGGGAAGTCCCAGCCGATACCTGGGCGCTCCGACCGGTACGTGCCCAGCTGAGTCCGATTCTATTGTAAACACAGCTGGCTGCACTCAGGGAAGAGGGGGCTACCCCCTCCCCACCGTCCCCGTCGAGCTTTGCTGCCTGATGTAAGCCGCCGAACAGGAAAGAGCGCCGAAGTCAGGAGTGGAATAGTGCCGAGGAGAGATGCAAAAGCCAAGAAGCATCATTGCTTTCTCCGAGCTAGCGTCCTACGAATGGGTTTCACTTGTCAAATTTACTATTTCGGGTTATCCCGTGAAATGAGGCACTGCCGATGAGTTTAACGGCTATTGTAGGTATGTAATGAATTTAAAATTACGTTTACATGCGAAAGCTCGATAGTATGTCAATTAGGTAGTTACCTCACAGCCTTTCCGATATATTTCTATTACATATAAAAGTTACAGGTAGGTATAGGGAAGTGTTGGCTAAGTTATGGTTTTATGTGGATGAGCAGTAAACACACAAAGAAACGAAATTTCTTTGACACATTTCAGACCTACATATACTGAGCATACAGCATAGGAATTAGGACTTAAAGGCTCATTCAAGGTACTTTTTGGCTCCTAGTTGTTCATTGTTTTCCTTTCGAATTTTCGACCATGTCGCATCGAGGTCGTTGTCAAGAAACATGACAACAATCGGAATTGTTGCCGTTTCTTGACAACGATCTCGATGTGCAAAGGTTCGACAATAAGAAACGAAAACATTATGACTATGGAGTAGCCGAAAAAGCGTACCTTGAATTAAGATGACTTGTCGTAAAAGGTTGAAATTATACGCTTAAAAACTCAGTAGACAGCAAATAAATTGTAGTCGTTGGATAGATAAATAGAGCGCAACCGTAAGACGATTTTCGAAACCAGCGCCCCGGATAACCGTTCCATTGATCGGCAATCTGCAAACACTCCCATGGGAGTGTGAAATCGTACGGTGCGGTACATAGGGTGTTGGGAGGAGGTCAACACCGCGACATGCTGGCAAGATGGACTGCTGGACACTGGAACATTAGCATAACTAGATATTCAAACGCTGGGTTGATGCAACTCATTCATGTTTCATTGATGCAGTTGCTTCTCATTGTAGTTGTAGTCGAAAATTTCGTTTGAGTAAAATATATGTATTCCGTCGCTAGGCTTCGGATAAATGAAATCTTTTCAGACTGATTTTTCATGATATTGGCTACTTAACCCGTGCCGGGCCGGTGCTCGGCGCCAACCGCGCCGGAACGGGGGATGTTTCAATCAGAGTAGGTATATATATATATATATATATATATATATATATATATATATATATATATATATATATATATATATATATATATATATATATATATATATATATATATATATATATATATATATATATATATATATATATATAGCAATATATATATATATATATATATATATATATATATATATATATATATATATATATATAGTATAGACAACGTTTCAACGCCCCCCCCCCCTCCCTCTAACTCCACTCCTGGGCCACGTAGCGACACGCGGTAAGCGGCATTCGAAAGAACGTCCAAAAGCATGACGAAAATACATCTGTGACATTTTTTGGTCGGGTCAAAGGTCAGTTCACCAGAGGTAACATGCTGCCTATTTCAGCATTTTTCGAAAAGCGGCGTACCTATAACTCGGGAATCAAAAGAGCTATAGCGCCGCAGTATCACGCATTCGATAGCCCTTTCAACGCTCTATCCGATTAAGCTCTCAGATTTGACCTGGGACTAGCGATTTAGCCTCCAGAGGGCAATAACCAATAAAATAGCAGTTGTTACGAATTTTTTTTCTGTAATAGGTAACTTTTGACTCAAGATAGGCACAGCATTTAATTTGCCAGCATCGTGTTCCTCTCGTCGAGACGCGTCGAATGAACTACAATTTTGACATTGAAAGGTCATTTTCAAAAGTTGACCTAAGGTCAAGGTCAGACCTGACCGGAAAAGGTCATGTTACATATCATAGTCGATCCATATCACCAATTTGAACACGTCTAAGGTGTTTTCATCGATAATAGTAGGCATGGATGAGACAATATCCTCTTATCATTATAAAGGATCAAATTTATAGTACCACCATGTATTGTTATAAACAAATATATACAATTAGCTTATTACTAGCATATTAGCCGTTCTCAGACGGGCTATCCGGCGAATGCACCTAATTTGACCCATGGGGCAAGTGCCGCAGGCCATAAGCACGGCGACTGGCCTTGCCCAGGCAAACGCCAATTTCATGTTATGGCGAATTGCCGCCTGGACGAAAACCCCTTTGACCTACCACTCGGCCACCGCCCTTAGAGCAGGCACTAAGGCCTGTGTATACCGACGAAACGGTAACAGGGACAGGTGCCGCCGGCCAAATTACGGTGACCAGCCTTGCCCGGACTACACCAATGTTCTGTATTGGTGAATTGAATACCGTCGGGACGAAAACTGCCGTGGGCCCTTACCACCAGGGACGAAACGGCGAGGGGGGTCTTACCCGCCCCCCCCCCCTCGGCCGGCGCGTATGTAGAAAACCAATAGGTCCGGCGAGGGTTAAGACGACGAAGATATAGCCTCAAGTACCTACACTAAATTTTCTAGGTGCAAGACCTACCGCTAAAACCCGCGAGATCTGTACCTGTATCCCGATGTAGTGTCTATAGAATCAAGAATGGCGTTCGCTCAAAGCAGGCGCCTTTCAATTATCTCCTTTTGACGTACTAATAATGGACACACTCCATAAGCTAAGTGCTATATAAAAACGACCATTCTGTCGTGTGCTATTGACCATATCGTTAGACATACCTGTTAGAAAGGACGAGGGTTTAAACGACTCCGAACGATCGGCTTGGACATTCGGAAAATAAGTAACAGAGTAACGACACCCAATGTGGCGGCCTTGCTTTGTATCTACAATCGTACAATGTGCGCAGTATCAGCCACAAATCCCTGGCCAATGGCCATGCCTACTGTTTCCAATCGTTATGATACATACGAGTGCACGTTTACCACAATCTGTATGTCTATCATGCCTCTATGTAAACAGTTCGTCCGATGACAGCATTAGTTTCCAGATTCCAGTCGCGGCTGAGGTGCCCGCCTCGTCGAACTGGTCCGGGCCTCCCAATGACGTCACACTGACGTCATATGGTGTGGTACCGGCCGAGTCGGAGAGCACAGCGGCACAACGGAGTGGTGAGGCGACGTCTGCTGCGATAACGGGAGACCAGGAAAAGCCGCCAATGCGGGTCATTCCCGTCCTATTCATCATCAGCGTGAGCAGTTTTCGTGTGGTGCTTGCAATGCATTGCGATTGATGATACAGTCATTGCAAGAAATGAGCGCCAAGCGGGGTGTTCCAAAGGTGGGCCTCCATAGAAACAGTCAATATGAAACCAGTCTAGGTCACTGAAAACGGCACATTTCCGTTCGGGTAATGCAAAAACTAGGAAATCTAAGCCGATCAACAATCTCACACAGTGGTGATCACGCAGTTGCGACACTGCCCTGGCTCGATAAGCTAACTGAAAGACATGGTTGGGATCACGGATTCACGGCAGTGAACGCAGTTGCTCGAATCTGGTTCGAACTTTCCCGGCTCTACGCTTCATCTGTATGGCCCTTACGGCTAAAAATGTTGTCCACTGGCACTGTCCAGTATTCGGGATTGACTTTTGCTCGGTTGCAGCGATGATATTATGCAGCGTACGGGCTAGACAGTCAGCGAGCGTGGCGAGCCTTGTGCGGCTGTGGCTGTCGGACTCGGGTCCTCGCCTGCAGCAGTTGGCTAACCTACTTCAGATAGACCGGCGGCAGACCGTCACCTCGGACGGGAGAGGGTTGTCTGCCAAGGCCAGCGTCCCTGAACGACGGCGGGACGGTCCAGCGGGCACCAGCGCCAATCACAAGACAGACTTTTTTACATGAATCTAGCCGATAGTCAGAGACAAGCCCGCTGCTCCCGACAAGTGCACCGGTACGGTACAGAGATGTTCACTTTTTTTCAGCGGCTGGAGCTGATCGTCGTTATAGCAATACCTACCTTTAGAGCTTCGTACACTTCGTCAAGCTAAAGGTGTCTAGCAATCAGGAGCCAACGGAAGCTGACTGACCAGAGTGATCATATCATCACCTGCCTGCACAATAGCCTAGAGACTCGATCAATTTATGTGCATTGCAGAAGAGGGGCCAAGGCCAGTCTATTTTAAGCCGGCTGGAATCACTCGCTATTTAACATATGCTCGCCTATGCAATGGAGCAGAGCCGGGGGTGAACTGACGCCAGTCTCCATGCAATTTATATTAAACGACTCGCAAGCGACATTCAGTCTACATCCTGGCAGACGTCTGAAAATTTGGGTCATTGCCGTGCTGAGTGTGACGCGTCGGTCGCATAACTTACGACCGAATATTTGAGTGTAGTTGATGGACGTAATAGTTTAACTTCTCAAGTGTTTAAGCATGTACTGGGTGATTTACCGCACTGAGAACGTTTCGGTATCAGTTGCGGAGAGCTCCAGCGCCATATTCAATGACACGTTCAATGAAAGTATTACCTAAATACCAGTTGAGGCCCACGTCGGCAAGTGATTTCAGTAGCACCCTCCACCGACCAGACTGCTCCAATGAGCGTCGGACGTTACTAGGCACGTTCCCCGTTCGGTGCACTCGCCCTTCTGACCGGTCACAGACTCAGCACCACTGACGACAGGCGATGACTCCCGTTCAAAGCGCTGTATTACTCAGACAAGCCAGGACAGCGGAACACGTACTCGTCGCCAGGTAAGCCACTCGCCAAGGCTCGGAGTCATACAAGTCCTCACAGCTTCTCGACACAGCACACTTCTAGCCACAAACAAACAAACAGAAACACATACACACATACACACACAGGCAGACAGACGAACGGGCGGACAGGCGTGGCGTGCCAGCTGTGGTCGCGGGGTCAGGTGTTAGCAGAAAACTGATGCCTGCGGTGAGCTGTATGATGTATCCCTTCCCGGCGGATAGGACTGTACCGACGAGGGCACCCCCTCAGCCATACCGCCTAACCCAGCCAGCCTTACGCCCCAGCCACCAGTGCACCACTCCTCTGAACACACGGGACAGTAGTTCCCGTCTCCTATCCCACGAACACTTACCCTGGTCGATCCGGCGACAGCACGAGACAACGGAAGCACACGATATCAACACAATCACATTTTCTGTGTTACCCTATTGCCAACATTGAACAAGCATATTATGACATTTGTGACTTTTCACTCGATTATGCTTTCACGCTTTCCGGGCTGATTCGAACATTTATTAGAAATGCTAGCGGTAAGGGCAATTGTTCCTTGCTAATGGAAAGAAACGTATAACAAATGCGTATGGAGAACGATGCTATTATGGCATGTAGCTTGACGGGAATAAAAACAAAAGTTGTTCCTCTTATCATACGCACACATGAGTGAATGGTAAGCCAGGAATAGCAAGCTTCTGTGCGTGTCTGATTGTGCCACAAGCTACCGAATAGCGCAACAATGCTTTGGTTGGATATCATTGCGATAAATTTATATAAACGTATCGTAAGTACAACAAAAATCACTCTAGATTGCACCATTGTGTTGCCCTTAATCACAAATAAAATTAACTAAAAATCTCCTCTCAAACTAAAATCCTGACACACCGGACGAATGGTGAATCCCTGTGCTGAATTATTATGCTAAAATGGATGGAATACCTAACTAAATACTATGCGGTTGAGATCGACCGCGCAGTACGCCATAACAAACAATTCAACGACAAACAAACACAAGCGACGCTGAGGCGGCGCACCTAGCCAGCGCACACAGTGCGTGACATCTGACCGACGAACTACAGCGTCCCGGGCGCCGGCCTGCGCGCATCGAAACCGGTTCCACGACCGGCACACATCACTTATCTCCGGCAGTGCCGTTCGAGGCGGGCGCGGCGGGAGCGCCATCTGTGGCTTGCGCCGGTAACTGTGAGTTCCCCGTACTGCCGGTGGCAGCGTTAGCGGCCGCCACCATCGCAGCGAACATGGAGTTGGGATGCGCTAGCAGCACGGACGGCTTGCCGAACTCTACGACCTGAAAGATGGCACCGAAGCAGACGTTATTGAATTGCTTTTAGACATTGTCGAAGAAGGAACAGAGAGATCCAGCCTGAGGATTTAGCTCAGTGAGCTGGGTCACTCAATGATAGACCCGTGAGGTGACTGGCAATCGTAGAGCGAAATCTTACAACCAGCAAACGTCACGTGTGTGTTTGCGCACGCGTGTCGCCCCTCGTTTCTGACCTGCCCGGCGTCCAGGACGAGTACCCGGGACGAGGCGAGCACGGTGTTGAGTCGGTGCGCGATGGTGAGCACGGTGCAGCTGCTGAACGCCTCTCGGATCGTGGTCTGGATCAGCGAGTCCGTCTCCGTGTCGATCGACGCCGTCGCCTCGTCCATCAGCAGGATCTGTCCGGGGATAAAATGAAAAATCAACACACAACCGACGACAATCGATAGAAAACTCAACACAGTGACCTCGAACATCAGTGGAACCTGGCCGGGAATACGGAAGGAACAGTGAGGGGACGCCATTACATAAACAATGGCGAGAACGCAATACAGATATACTGACCAGAATACACACAAAGTGGCCTCACGGCTCACAATCAACAGAATCTGACCAAAAAGCAGACGTGTGAGGATCTTACTACAGACACAACGAACAGAATAGCCAAAACTCGGCCTCGTTCATCAGCAGAATCTGGATGAGGGAAGAGAGTGGAATGAAAAACTGACCAAAACGCACTCATCTTGGAGTGCCTCAACAACAGACACTGACTTTTGAGTGTCTCAGTAGAACACACTTTGGAGTGCTTCAGCAGCTGGGCACACACTGACCTTGGAGTGCCTGAGCAGGGCAGAGTACGCCAGACACTCATATTGGAGTGCCTGAACAAGGTACTCACCTTGGAGTGTCTGAGCAGAGCGCACACTCACCTTGGAGTGCCTGAGCAGGGCAGACGCCAGACACTCATATTGGAGTGCCTGAACAAGGTACTCACCTTGGAGTGTCTGAGCAGAGCGCACACTCACCTTGGAGTGCCTGAGCAGGGCGCGGGCCATGCAGATGAGTTGCCGCTCTCCGACGCTGAAGTTTTCTCCGTTCTCCAGGACGGGCGCCTGAAGCTGGAGCTCCAGGGCGGCCACCTTCTGTTTCATGTGGGTGCGCTCCAGGGCCTGCCACACCTGGGCGTCCGAGTAGTGGTCGAACGGGTCCAGGTTGTACCTGAGAACGAAGGGGCGCGGAATGCCATTACAGCGGAGACAACAGACGACACCTGGGCGTCCGAGTAGAGGGTGAACGGGTCAAGGTTGTACCAGCTGAGGACGGGGGATAGCAGCGGTCATTAGCGGGCAGCGAAGGACACAGCACTCGACACCAGCGGGGACGACGCAGCTGCTGTCATCAAGGGGAGGGAGGATGGGGGGGGGGGACAGCGGTTGTCGTCAGCGGAAATGGGACATACCAACCGTAACCAGCACTAGCGGGATACGAGATCACACCGGCCGCCACCTAGCGGGGATAACGCCGTAACAGCCACCACAGATGTCTAATCAACAACAGAATCTCGAGTCTTGCTTGCTATTTACGAGGTGATTCGATATAAAAGCTGACATACAAACAGTCTCCGTATAGAAAATATCAGCATGATAACGCAGACGGTCGCAAAAAACGAGTCCACGAACAGCGTACTTCGTGTCGCCATGTTTACCTGACGGTGCCAAGAAAGAGCACGGGGTCCTGCGGTATAATGGACAGCCTGGAGCGCAGGTCGGCCAGGCCCACCGTGGACACGTCCACACCGTCCACCAGCACCCGTCCCGCCTCCGGCTCCACCAGCCGGAACAGGGCCACGCCGATCGACGACTTACCAGAGCCCGTGCGGCCCACGATACCTGGGAAGGAGGAGGGAGAGTCAGTACAGAGACGACTTACCCGAGCCCGTGCGGCCCACGATACCTGGAACGGAGAGACAGAGACACATCAGAGTCTGCAGACGGCACGCAGAGGGTTTACCGGAGCTCGTGCAGCCCACGATACCTGTCACGACACCGGTGCGAGGAGAGGGGGGGGGGGGGCAGCACTATGCACAGACAGTAGTCAGTACGGACAGTAGGGTTTATCAACAGTGGCAGAGCTGCATACAACGCATAATTAATCAAATATTAACAAGTGTCCTTTTCCAGTGCATGTTGTCAGCTGCTGTGTTCACACGACCATCTGGCGTAGCGTACGGAAAAACGTAAACCTTACCTATGTCTTCCGTAACTCCATCTACCACAGTGTAGACCGTTCACTCCCTTCCCCCTAATTTCTCCGTTCCGTCTTTCAACCATTCCAGTTCACTAACTCACCGATTTTCTCCTGTGCATGCACGTCGAACGTGACGTTTTTGAGCACCTGCGGCAGCTCGGGTCGGTAGCGGAGGCAGACGCGGCTGAAGGATACCCGGCCCGCCTGCGGCCAGTCGGCGGCCGGACGGTTGGAGGGCACCACGGCCGGCGCCTCCTGAGCCATACACTGCGGGGGCACACAGCTGGGTTAACAGCCGGATACATTCAATAGACTGACACATAACCATAGGCTCGGATGTAAGAGCCATAACCACTGTCAATTTGTGAAACAGGATCACAAAGGCTACCCGTTATTCTCTGAGCGTAAACGAAAACTTGCCAACAATATCGCTACCACACCCTGGGGCCGGAGCTGGACCCGTCCCCTTCCATTTTAATTACACGCCACTCCGTCATGACTATGTAGCCATCAATCCTCCCATCCGAGCCTTGTGGCTTGTTATCTCACTCCTACCGTGGTTGACCGAGTGGGCGGCAATCCACCCCACCCAAACCTAATGACGACAGTGAAAGAGCAATCCACCCCTCTATGATACAACAAGCCGTGTAGGCGTCAATATACCCCACCCAGGTCTTCTCACAGCCGTCTTGGTGTCAACATACTTCATTTTTTGCGCTACTCACGGCAGTGTAGGCGTCGATCCTCTCCACAGAAGTGAACCTCGCCTCTGTCTCGCTGCTAAGCCGCACGGTGAACTGGAAGAGACCCGACAGCTGGGCGGCGTAGGCCATGGCCAGACCGGCGAACGCGGCCGGTACCACGCCGTGGGACGCCAGCACGAACACGGATGTCAGCGCTGTGATGGTTACTGTTGGGAGGTAGAGGGGGGGGGGGGGGTCAGTATAGCGACATGGGCTAGTGACAGTAGGGCGACAGTAGAGGTCAACGGACTGACGTGTCAGGGGTTACAAAATTCACAGAGTTAGGTCATAAATTGAGGGATCATGGGTCACCATGATAGAAGTGGAAAGTTAACAACTGACGGGTGTCGGGTGTCAAGGTTCACCAACTGACAGATGTCAGGACTAGGAGTCATCGTAATGACAGGGATAAGAGGTCGCTGGTTTAAAATAAATCTGAAGCTTCAGCGCGGCCACGGGTCAAAAGTCACTGACTCGATCTGGCCCAGATGTCAACCGTCAAATAGCGGTAACTGCAGGGACCAGGCTTCAATAGAAGCACGAATAGTTCAGAACGATGCAGCTAAATAATAAATTCAATATAAATATGAGAAACATTGGCTTCTCATCCTAGATGTTATCCTCAAGATATTACAACGTCTTTCAAGCTACAAAATGTGCTATTTTCCACCATTAGTAGAATAAACATGAACCAAATATGTGAGGATTGTCGAGCCGAGCCCCACCAAGCGCAGGTCACCCTCACCGGTCAGACTGTCCAGTCGGATGGCCACCCAGCGCATGGAGCAGTTGAACAGGTAGAACGCCGACGAGTTGTCGTCAAACTGGCCCATGAACCTGCCGGATGAACACATATCGTCTCCGTCAGTGACTCAGCGCACTAAACGTACGGTAGCCGCCATGAGCAGCGTCTTCTACCGTAAGCCTCCATCATCTACAGTTACTGGATACAGGACCCCTAAAATCCCTCAATAAAATTAGTTATTTGTGAAATAGGCTGTGAGGATGGAGGAAAGTGAGACTGATGCACTTACGATTGAGCCCCACCGATTCGTCGAGAGCTAATTTTGGACGTCCGGGTCCGGATGACACATGGACTTAGACATGGGTAAAAAGAAGCCCACACCGTGGCGGTGCTTGGCTCAATTCACCAAGCAATTACGGGACAGCGTTTGTTTACATCTTCATGCAATTCGGCCAGAGCTTCGATTTGCCACATTCAATTAAAAAAGGAAAAGAAAACATCAAACCAAAACAAGAAGTCTTCTACGCAATATATTTCAACATTCTGGTTCAGGGAACACATGACATGTTTATAAAATTGACGCATATATTGCGACATGGGTACATGCCTGAAAAGCAGACTTCAAGCTAAACAATCAAGAACCGAAGGCGTGCACAATCCACCTCCAACGTGCGACAAGGCACCTCCTCAAACTCGCAAGGCCATTATTTGTTGAATGTTTATTAGAGTTTCAGAGCGCGCCGACAGGGCCAAACCCACGATGCGCCCTGCTGATCTCTTTCTATCACATACGCGCGATATCACCGGCGATGATGGCGGTATAGTTTATCAAGATAATGACGGCACTGCCCTGCCTCAGAATGCCTCCTCTCGCATCCAGTAGAGCACTGTTCCCGACGCCGGCTGCTCCGGGTGGATCCACGGGCTGTGGCTGTAGTGAGGGTCCGTCTCGTGCGACACCAGCGTCCCCCACCAGTTGTCGCCGCCCGGAGTCGTCGTGGTCAGCACCGGCGAACGTCCGTGAAGACCCGTGTTCAGCCACGGCATCCGCTTCTTGATGCCGAGGTTCTGGTAGTCCCACTTGTTGAAGAACCGCACCCGACTGACTTCCGTCTGAGAGCCTGTCTCGTCTATGAAGCTGTAGAGCCTCGGCGCCAGCCAGATGCCGCCCCAGCGCTGGCGGCCCTTCTCCGCCTGCGTCTCGATCCGGTAGGCGAACCTGGCGCCCTTGCCGAGGTCCCGAATGGCGTCGGCCTCACCCAGAATCGAGTAGTCGGCCGAGAGCGAGGGTGAGAGCGGACTGCGACTGAGCGCACTCAGCGGGTCCCAGCCAGGGTGTGAGACCGCCGTCAGCAGCAGCGTCCAGCCGCCGCCGTCGTGGCTGAAGTCGCACAGCACCGGCACCGACATACCGGTGAACCAGTAGACGCCGTTCTGTGGGTCACCGCCCTGGTTGCGCAACTGTAGACAGGAGCGGGCGCAGGCGCGTATCGCCGGCTCCTGGTGAGGCGCCGCGTCCAGGGGTAGTGGTGTCGGGGTCGCCTCACACGCTGTCACCGGCTCCGACTCTGGCTCCAGAGACCGGGGAGACGTCTCGGCGCGCGTTGTGGGACAAACTACGTCCCCACCGCCACCGCTGTCACCACGTCGGTCGGCCAGAGCAGACAGTTTCAGATCAGCCACGTCTCCGACCACCATGTCCACCCTCAGCTCCAGACGCGCCAGCTGAACGGCCAGCTGCGACAGCTGCCAGCTGCTCTGCGAGCGGGACACCGCCTCCTCCAGCACCGGCGACAGCAGCGTCTTCAGTTGGTCCTGCGCCGACGGCTGCGGTAGCTGGATGTCCGGGATCTCACCAGCGGCAGAGTCCGGTGACGGCAGAGCCGCGGACGGCGCCGCCAGCAGGCACAGCACGACGGCGGCGACACGGCGCAGAGACATTGTAACGCTGCTACTGATCTGGCACAGCTAGTCTCGCTGGATTTGCGTACCTGATCCTTCCAAAACTCGATCTGCTTAGCTGATCCTTGTCTGGTCACCAGCGGCTCGATGCAGCATTTGCAGACCGAGCCACCGTTGAATCTGTGCAGCTAATCTTGGCCGAGCCACGGGTCTCGATGCGTCAAATTTATATAGCACCTACAACAATCTAGGTTAGACGGCGAGGAGGGCGCCGTAAAGTTTACGGAGCCCTGCCAGCCCTCTGCTGAGCGCAGGAGCCACTGGCCCGCTGATATATACGAGTGACCGGCCGCAGCCAGCGGGAAGTACACAGTGACTCAGCGCCAGACGCTGCGGCCGGACTACTCTGTTTATTGAACTGCTTGGGGAACGCCAAAAATCCAGAGAATGCTTACCGATCACTGTATCTGTTGCGACATGCATGTCACGAGGCAGACGGAGACAAACTGGTAGGCTCATGATATGTCTATAAAGTTTATTTTAATTTACTTCGCGCTAATTTTTGTCAGGATGTTTTCGAAAACAGTAATACATGCTACGCTATTTCCTACACGAAAAATATACGAATCTCATCAAGTGACAAGTGTTGATTAACATCACTGCTTACTGGCGAAAGCGAAAGCCTTTTTACGACGGCTTTCTTCACCGAGTTTACTTCGTCAGCAATTTTACTCACTGATGTTGGCGTCTTTTTTTAATCTATCAAAAGATTGTGTTCAGATACCATTGAAAGCATGCTTTAATTTCAACGGGATTCAGCTTTGCGTCATTATACATAGCTTCAATGAGTCTGACTACAACAAAATCCCCTGTGTAGCGAGACATTGCCCCCCTCCCCCAAGGGCATGCATGTCAGGGTGCCACCCATCCGGCCTCTGACTACAGCACCCACAAGACCCGTTCTATGGAACCTACCACCGATCCGCCCTCCCCTCCCAGCCCCGGCGTCCACTCACCTGTTGATGAACTCTCGCTCCTTGCCGAACGCGTGAATGGTGGCCAGTCCGTTGACCGTGGTAATCACGTGACTGTAGGTGGGCGCACGGGTCACATTCTCCAGCCGCTTCAGGTCGCGCACCCCCACACTGAACACAGCTCTCACGAACAGGAACACGGCAGCGATCACCGCCAGCGGCACCAGGAACCACGGGAACACCATAGCCACGAAGAACAGCGACGTCAGGATCATCAGCGAGTTCTGCAGGAAGGTCTCCGTGGTGAACGGCAGCCGCACGTCGATCTCGTCCAGGTCTCGGGAGAAGAGGTTCAGCAGTCTGCCGACGGGCGTGGTGTCGAATAGCGCCATCGGAGCGCGCAGCACCCGGTGGAACAGGCGGTCGTGGAGCCGAGACGAGGCTGCGAGGGTGACTCGCATGAAGAAGAAGCCGCGGATGAGGCTGGTGGCCAGGATGGTGACCACCGACAGGCCGTACACCAGCTGGTAGAAGTCGAGACGCGGGTGGTCGGTGATGCGGTCACTGACCATCGTCTGATTACCGACCTCGATGGTTGTGTTCTGAGTGAAAAAGGAGATTGTGTTAGGACTGAAGGCAAACCGCCTCAAGTCACACTGACTGATACAATCGCTAGCTGACCACAAGTAGTGACATTCCCCAACTTAGACTTTTCCGCATTCAGTACGGTACTAACTCAAAGATCTTCCTCAGTTGAGGACGTTCTTAGTTAACCTTCAGCCGTTTTAGCCAGCTCAGTGGCGCAGAAGCTCAAAGATACAGAACTGCAGCCCACTTACAGTCTGATACTGCACTGTCTCTGTGTCGGTCCCGGTCTGGTTAAAACACCATTTCGTCGCGCTCAGGACGCCTAGCCCCTCTCACCCCCGAGCCCTGTTCAGCCTGGACCCCTATCCATCCCATGTAGCTCTTGAAGCACTCACCCCGGAGCCCTGCTCCAGCCAGTGTGACAGCCACCAGGACGAGAAGGCCGCCGACGCCACGTTGACGATGAACACCATCATTACGAGCGACGCCATCAGGAAGCCGCCTCCGGCCTGAATGTACGCCTTGTACGTCCGTCCAGAGATGGCGCCCTTCTCCAGGGTTTCAGCGTTAGTCAGCTGGGCTGTGAAGAACAGGAGACCGACGGTCAGTTGCACGGCGGCAAAACACGCGCTCAAAGACACAGCGGCGCTTCTCAGTCAGCAAAGCGCCTGTTTACATCGGTTGGGTTCGGCTTTCAGTCAGTGACGGCCTTGGAGAATAACAAGATGAACGGATTAGCAACAGCGATGGATTGGGGATTACACATACCTGAAATGCATTCACAACGTCGGGGAATCCATCGAGGTAGAACGCTACCTGTCAGACTGTCACGCTCAGGCACCTCTATTACTAAGCCGAGATATCTCTACTCCTAGGCACAACCATAGACCTTTGTATTGGTATACGGAAGAATATAGAGAACTAGGGCCTAACATGAGACAGCCTAACAGGGCCTAACAGGAGACAGCTCCTCTCCTAGCATTCGGTACCAGAAGGGAATAATACTATCTAACGATTAATGTACATCTGAGTTCACCTTTCTCCTACTTAATACTCCATACCGAGACGAATATAGCAGCCACTCGGCTCTTTGCCCGTTTGCACGATAGCTACGCTAAGCCTGCTACCCTACTAACGATACCGATTGGGACAGCAGCCCCACACTCCTCGCTCGCAATGGGCACGTACCCCCGGCGCTGGTGGCGTCTCCTTTGACTGTGTGCGCGCCATCAGCCGAGTGGGACGAGCGACGCCGGGCCACCTCAGACGAGGCGCGCCGGACCGCCTCCTCAGTCAGACCCAGGCCGCTCCTGTCGGATACGGGGGGGGGGGGGGGGGAACTCGTCAAATAAACGAGCAGCACAGGTCATATTGGTCACACAGGTCACACGGGCCACGCGTTCGGGTCACATGGGTCACACGGTGAAGGGTCATACAGGTCACGCTCATTACACAGTTCAAACGTGTCACACAGGTCAAACAGAGCACACACATCACGCAGTTCACACGGGTCACACAGATAAAGCAGAGCACGCTTGTCAGCGGCAGGAGAGGTCAGCCAACGTGGTGATAGAGGAGATACGAAACCGGCCAGGCAGCCAAAGCTGAATTCACAGGATAAAACACTGGTCACAAACGATCACAGGCGTGATATACAGGGGACACAGAAAACAATCGTTCGGCGGCTAGACAAACACGACGCAACATATCTGTCAAAATAATGAGGATTCGGAAAATTGAATGGATTGCAGGTTTTCATTTGCTATTATGCACATAAAACAGCGACGACCGAAGTTGATATCGTTCGTTGCCCATTAAACATGAAACTCTGAGAGCATGCGTGAAGGTTGGCCCTTGCATAATGTATATTGTATAAGCCCTCCATCTGGCATCTATCTATAAACGCACAATCATGTCGACCAGCCTCCCTCCAGCCAGTCGCGACACAGCACTAAAACTCCGAGCCCTATTACCAGTCAGGGAACCATGCTAGTCACGGAACAAATATTGAAACGGCGAGGCTCATCACATCACTGGCTAGTGGGTTATGCTGTCTGTTACCAAGGCAAGCCTGACCTTCGATTTAACTGTTGCGATTGTGAAAGGCCCATCTCTGAAAAACAACACCATCCGCACACATAGGTTATGCGGTGATGCACTTGTCAACGGCTTAAGTAACTTCCTATGTCGATGCGTCGGAGTGAAAGAACTATCGGAGATGGAAAACGACTTGTACCTGAAATTAGCTGCTGATGGAGCTTCCTGGTTAGCTTAGCAACTCGCGGCAGTAGGTGAAGTGCACTCAGTAAACTAAGGCCATCTGTTGGAGGATAACTAATCTAAAACCAGAACTTCTACAAAGCTGCACCGAGCGAAAATGTAGAAGCATGAATTTGCATAAATGTGACAAATTCAGTTATTCTACAAACGGCTAAGAGGCAACTCATTATCATAAAAGGAGGCTAATGCCGGCAAAAAAAAAAAAACGTTTACACTGAACTGTCTGGACGCCGAGCCCAAATGACTTTATAGAAGGGGCAATTGCGTCGCTGGTAGGCTGCCATGGTTACTGGACAACAGCGTCACGGTCAGGGCTCATACCTGCCGAGCACGGACTTTGCGCTGCCCAGTTCCGACCCACAGCGGCGCTGTTCTGCCACCCACCGAGCCTCGAAAACTGACAGGCAATAGACCGGCCGCACCTCACCAAAAGAGCCTCGCTCGACCACAATGAATGGCTGCATCGGTCCACCGACTGTGCCAACACAGCCTGACTGGTGGATTCACCGACTGTTGACAACGAAGTTCTTTAGCGTTCCGAGGGGTTCATTCAGGAGTGTCTATAGACGATTAGTTGGCGCGTCAGAGGGATCACGCCACACTGAGCGGGCGTCTTTATGATTTTCAGTTCCCACCACCACCACAGTCAGTTGCCACAGTTCGTCTAAAGAGAGCGACAGGACACCGCCAGCTCATATCATCACTGAAGAACAGTTGGGCCCGTTTCCGCAGTAGCCGATGCCGCTGTAGGCCGACCTCCGACCATGAAGCGTATGTCGGTGCGTCCAGCCCAGACAGAGGAGGTCACTGCGCCGGGCAGAGACGTCACCCAGCTCCCCGGAGTGGCCGGAGATGTGGAGTCCGCAGACGGAGACCTGCGCCTCTCGCGGTCGGCGCGGGTGATGGTCGCGCTACTCCGTGTCACCGGCCACTGGGGCGGCGCCGGCTGCGGCTCCCTCATCTACGCCACCCTGCTGTACGCCGTGCTGACCAACGCACTGCTCTTCCTCGTGTCCAGGAAGGGCAGCATCGGCATGAAGGCGCTTGCCCGGGACCAGGGAGAGTTCAGCGCAGCGTTCAAGTCGTCGTTCTTCGGCATTCCGGACGCACTGAGCTGGTTATGTCTGAGCTGCACCTTCTTCATCGGAAGGCGACGGTACGCAGGCCTGTTCTCAGAGATCAGACAGGCCCTGAGAAACGCCCTGAGCTCGACTACCAATCCAACTGCTCAGCCTCTGAAGAGCCTGAACCGACGGCTAGCCATCATACTATCCTGCCTTGTGGTGTTGTGTGTTGTGGTGATTTCGATCCACATCCACCTTTTCCTGCGAGCTCCTGTCATGGAGTGTGAGGAGTCCGCAGCAAGCTGCGCCAAGAACGTGATCAAATACCTGTTTTACACGATCCTTGATATATTTCTGCTGCTCACACCAGTCAAGCTGCTGCTTGCCGCTGAATTCGCCAGGGAGGGTTTCCGAGCGGTGAACGCTGAGCTGAAGACGATGATGGCCTCTGGTAGAGTGGATGTCACTCTGCTGGTCCGACTGGGGCGGCAGCAGGCGGCGCTGAGCGCGGCCCTGTCGCGGCTGACGGACGGCCTGGCGCCCGAGCTGGTGGTCTCCATGGCGTACGGCGTGGTGCTGCAGGTGTCGACTCTGCTGCTGACCGTCGGCAGCGCCCAGGCCGGCCACCTGATGCGCGCCGGTCCCGAGATCGTCGCCGGCCTGTACCGGGCCGCCGTCACCGTGGCCGTGCCGTGCGAGGTCGGACAGGCCGTCCAGGACCAGGTGGACCGGATCCGCGACTCGCTGCTGGCCCGGCCGCCGGTGGCTGATGTGACCGCCGGTCAGGAGGTGCTACTGCAGCTGGAGGCGACCCGCCGCGACCTGGACGGTCTGGGTGACCTGCGGCTGTACCGACTGCGGCGCTCCACCGTGCTGGCCGCCGTCTCTGCGGCAGTCACCTATATCATCGTGTTCCTTCAGTTCCAGCAGCCCGAGGCGTCCGGGTAGCCGGCGGAGCAACAGCGGGAGGACCCGGCGGTGCAGCAGCGGGAGATCCGACGACCCAGCGGTGCAGCAGCGGGAGGACCCGGCGGTGCAACAGCGGGAGGACCCGGCGGTGCAGCAGCGGGAGGACCCGGCGGTGCAGCAGCGGGAGGACCCGGCGGTGCAGCAGCGGGAGATCCGACGACCCGGCGGGGCAGCAGTGGACCTTCTGGGGACCTCGCGGCGCCGCAGGGGAGAACCTGACCTCCCAGCGGGGCTGTACACGGGCCGAAGAGCACCAACTAACTGCAATAGCATACTCGCCTTTAGTGACACCCACAGGACGGCTCTCACATAAGGAACCATTCAGAATCCGTATGCGATCAGCTAGTGTACGAATATCAAGCACACTAGTAGCTCTCTCAGATCGCCTCTGTAACTGCGCTTACTAGATTTGTGATATCTGTGTTTTGTAATTCATACCCACTGCGAGGGAGAGTAGAGAGCAGGGTCGCCACAATGTTTCTCCGCTGCAGAGATGCACTCCACGAGCTACGAAGTACAGAGGCTCTGCCAACAATAGAGGCCCTGCCGTTTGTAATCTAAACGCATTTAGTAAATGTGCATATTTTGCTTCAATACATAATACATATATGAAAAGTTGACTTTCTACTTTGTCCTCAATAGTGGGGAGCTTCATAATCGTTGTTCGGTCTGGCTCGGGTCTGAAAGTGCGAAAATCTAGTGTGAACCGTCCAATATACGGAAGCAAATCACAAGTCACCAGCCATGCTGAAGTGAGTTCAGACAATGACGGTTACCAATTAATTGTTAATTATTTCACCTCCTAGCTTTACGAATGTCGACTCGCAACTTAACACATGAATTAATCCACCTCCTACAATTATATGTAGCGCGTCACACTCATAAGTGACAAAAAATGATGAACTGTAGGTCCATCAGCCAATTTTCTATTATATAGTCGATCACATAACACTACAGATTCGTGCCTATATTGAGCTGATCACCGAAATCAGACATCGAAACCAACAGACCTCATATGAAAGCACCGCTATCATGTCGTTCGCTCCGCACATCGCAGCGCAGGCGGAACGGTATGACAGATGTAACACGCAGACATCTCTGCTGTACAGGCAGACAGATGCTACATGCAAACACCACTACTGCGCAGTCTGACAGGCAATACATGCAGACATCACCGCCGCTCGCTCCCGTCCGCCGAGAGACCGACAGACCTCGCTGGTCGGACGAACAAGCCGGCCGCCGCGGTCGGACCTTTTTGCGCGAGCGGCGCCGCTGCTTGAGATGCGTGCCACGCGCTCTGCGCGGGCCACCACCAGTTGATGGCGGCGCAGAACGGGCCCGTCATTCCGTCATCTAACGCACGCTGCACGCGCGCACATAGAGAAAACACCGCGGCAAGGACGCCCACGTGCCCGTGACCGCATATAAACGGCACGGTGCGCAGAGAATCGGCAGTGCATCCTTCCCCCCGCCGTCAATATGAAGCTGGTAAGGAGCGAACGCCGGGATTGGACTGACCGCCGGGATTGTGCTGTGCCGGCGCCGAGACAATCCTCTGAGTGCCGGTGGTAGCCGATTGGGTGGTAAACCTCAACATTACATATTTTCTCAGACAGGCTTGACTAATGCCCGTTTATTCGGTTTATCTGCGTAACATAGAGGGACATCTTACCTTGATTTGTACAAATATTACAAGCAGATTCCGCAAACCAAGCGTGGAGCAACAAGCGTCGTAAGCCGGCCGAACTATCGAAGCCTACCGCTGAACCCCAGGCATCGGTTGGGCTGTTGACATGTCGGGAAGATACCGATCTGACCACTGTCCACTAAGCATTGACCATCCACCTCTTCCGTCCACAGCTCGTACTGCTGTGTCTCGCTGGACTGGCGGCGGCACGGCCACAGGCCGACGAGCGGAGCGCTCAGACCGTCAGCATGGACAACGAGCTGCGGGAGGACCAATCCTACGACTTCGCGTGAGTTCCAGCGGAGGCTCGGGTCGGTGGCGGTCCACAGTGCGGGTGGAGGTTGCCAGTGAAGGTCGCTTTCATTTTGTTCAAAGCTCCACAATCAGTCTTGGCTACCAAAAGTTTATCCACGTTTGAGTAGGGTATTGTCACGTTAAGTTTCAGACACCTGCAGTTGTTGGAGGTCTTTAGCATATGCCCTGGACAAACCGATTAATTGAGGAAACGCATTGTCGCCAAATGTATTCAGTGATCAAATGACAAAAATTCAAACGAGTCCATACCTATACTCGTTCGAGAAAATTCGTGTCCGTGACCAAGTGAGCACACCACCTAAACGTTATCTGATCTCCCACTGACTCTGTCTCTCTCGACAGGTTCGAGACGTCCAACGGCATCATCCGCGAGGAGTCCGGCATCTCCTACCCGGGCGCCGAACCGGAGACGGGCAACTACGTCCAGTCGGGCAGCTTCGAGATCCCCCACCCTGACGGCACCGTCACCTATCTGTCCTTCCTCTCTGACGAGAACGGCTACCAGCCCGAGAGTGACGCCCTCCCCACCTTCAACGGACGGGTGGACATTCAGGACGCGTAAACAGGCACTTGGCAGGGCCAAGGTGGACCGAAGGGAAAACTGGCTTAGAGAGGCGGCACCATCGCGATCGACAGGGAAGTGAGCAAGCCTGTCTGCTGAGCTATCATACCTCTGTAATGTCAACATTTTCATGTGTCGAGACCACACTGCCGAAAGGAATGCAACGAATGAGCATGATGCGTACTGTAATTTTGGGAAAATCTGGATTGTTTTATGCCTCGTGAAGTGATCGACCGGCAAGGAAAGTCAAACGATATGGACCTCCAATATATTTGATTTGCAGAAAATCGACACTGCGGTCATATGTCAAGAATGTGATAACAGCGATAATTTTTTCTTTCGGAGGATAGAAACGAGTAAAAAAAGCAATTTAATAGCATTTTAAAAATAGCAGTTTAAAAATAGCTATGCATCTTGTTCAACTGATCGATGCTACATCTATACAAGTGAGTGAAGAATGGCAAATAAACTTTTTAACGAAATATAAATTAACAAAAGTAAAGACGTGGCCATTTCGATAGAAATATTCAGCTGATAGGTGAATACAAACCACACAGACACATATCATAAGTGGGGTCTAGTAAGCGTTTAGCATACCCTGGATCAAATACATCACCACTCCATATATCGAGCGTCCAAGGCGCACACGTTCGTTGCATCCTTGTGCCAAGGACGCTGAGAGCGACTCAGGGCGGGGGGCTCGATCCGGACCAGCGCTCGACATCAGCACGATTCGAGATCACCCCCATTGCACTGGTGCAGCGATATGGTAACGACACGTCAAGGTATCGGATAGAAATCATTTTTGCGATGGGCAGCCCACTTACTGTGGTTGACTGATGACAAAACGCCGATCATCCATGTGACATATGGGATCTTTGGCAGCGAGGCAGCTCAGTACAGGGACGAGTGTAAGCGGCTGATGGTAGTGAATGCCCTATAAAGGCTGCCTGATCTACTGTGGCACGATTCAAATTGGGTTGGACACAAAATAATATAGCAATGTTCATCCATGTCTTCAAACTCCGCTCCAGCGCCGCTTCTCATCGAATGGTTGGGACACGGAGACGGGAGAGACACGATGCTATGACCGAAATTGCACATTTAGCGGTTACAGTCAGATAGTCGTCACTAGAGTGCTCACTTTCCTCACCGAACTCATCCGTTCGCTCGTCAGGAACTAATCAATGCACTCCTGAATCTGGAGATGTCGAAACGAACGGGTCCAGTTGATAACAGAAAACGACCGGTAAAAAACATCGAATATACCAAACAAAGCTTCCTCTCACCATTTGAAAATAGAGCCGAGTGCTTTCGCGGGAAATTGCGAAACTCTACAACTCGACAATAAACTGAGATGAATTTACTAATGAATATTATACTTAGAATCCCAGTAAGAAAAACAATAAGCATCACATCTTCAGGTTTTCTTGCTACACATCTCCATCGGTTCCTTCAAGCATTTTGTCGAACCTGTTCATTGTTGATAATAGCTTCAGCAGCGATCCCAGGTGCCTAAGAAGACTCTATGGTATAAACCATTCCGCAGATATTTCAAGTGGTTACGTCCAATACACAGGTTGAAAACTTCTTGCTCAATTACATCAAGTAGCCAAAATAAGTAGAACAGAACGAATGAAGCACCATTCCAGGAATCAAGGAATGACAGAATCGTATGGTGAAATACAACACGTAGCTAGAAAATGGTGTTCATTTGCTAACTCCGGGAATGTGCAATGCTGCCGATGGTGCCATTACCAAGTCCCAGTCTAATTATGTTGCTGGCACTGCATAGAAGATCACCTTCATTAGTTAGCTAATGAAAACCAGTGAAAGGAGTCGGGTTCAGAAGGCAGGCTGCGCCCAGTGTGACGAAAGACAGCAGACAGGCAGACAACGCCTAGAAGAACAAAAACGGCAGGCTCGACAACTCGGACAAACAGACAAACAGCGGATACGGACAGAAAGTCAGACAGCCAGACAAAAACAGTGGATAAAGACAGGCGCACAGAGACAAAATGGTACAAACACTTGTCAAAAAGAACATCTCCACGAACCTAATGGGATCTCTTGGTTATTTGGTGATCGGTATGGACCATGATCACTCCCAGCGATTAATGCGCACGGACACGGAGTCATCCATTGAACATGATGCTTCAGTCAATCCCCATTACAGCCTACGGCAAGCCGATAATTATAAGCTGAACGCTGCTGAGCGCTGTAAGCTGAGCGCTTTAACAAACCACCAACTGCCGGTTGGCACGATAGAGGAGCTTGGATTCTGACACCATCAGGTGCATTCGACATGCAACGCTAGGTAAAGGCAGCTAGCCCTCATAGCCGCACTTCGTCCTTCGACCCAGGCCTTGGGTCTGAGATGTCTCTCCCCAGTCTCCACCCTCGTACTCAACATGTTCTGATGATGTATCAGTCACAGTGGACTCGTCACACCCTTCTTCGACACCCGCGCGGTGCGCACTTTAGGCTAATGTACCCTCAGCTATCCGGGGGAGCGTGTACCCCTGTAAGAGGCACCCCCAACCGGAGGGCGGCGGGCGGAGGGTAACCAGCAGCAGGCGGAGGGCTGCGGTCGGCGGTGAGCTCTGGTCGCGGACAGCGGGCGGCGGGCTGCTGGCAGAGCGAGGACCAGTGCCGTCACCGATCGCCTATCAGACACGCCGAGGGCGGGCGGCCCGGGGGTGGCGTCACCGGCGGCCGGCCCGAGAGGGGCGCCCCGCTCAGGCGGCTGTCGGAGCACTAAATAACTCCGCCGTCGGCCGGACCGGCGACTGCCACGGCAGGCCCCGAGGACGGCCAACATGCATACAGCCGCGATACGCCCAACAGATGCCATCAGGAGGGTCGGTATATAACACGGCTACGGATGGCAGCGGCGGCAGACAGACCACGGTGCAGCGGGCCGCGCAGATAGCCAGTCACACAGCAGCCATGAAGCTTGTGAGTGGTTTACTGTATAGGTATTGTATAATCTCCTGTTATGGATCGGTTGATCCGAGCGCTGTCTTGCCCTCCTAGATATGTTTGTTTACTAGTCTCACCACCCCGCTGTGTAAACTGAGAGTTTAAGAAAGTGGCATGAGTGTCTCTACTCTAGGACGCCGACCGGCCCGGCATGACACGAGGTCAGTGACAGTGTGTGACGGAAAGTGAGACGGTTAATGTGACGTTGCGAGTAACGGTTCTCTCTGTCCCCAGCTGATTGTTCTCTCTCTTCTGGCGGTCGCCCTTGCCAGGCCAGAAAGGAACGCCCAGGTCGTCTCAAACTTCAACGAGCTTAGAGAAGATAACTCATACGATTTCCAGTGAGTAAATTACCAGCCAAAACAGCGACATATCGTCAGACTAGCAGGACGGTGGCTAATAAGCTTTTGGACCAAGCCAAAATTACCAAAGACTCGGCCCATTTCATTAGCATGTAACAGGTAAGGGGGGAAGGAAAGAAACGCATTTGCCTCATGTGGGAATGACCAAAAGCATTTCCAAACCAACAGCAGCGATACGTGTGAAAAGCTAATTCGATACGCTCTCATTGATGAACTTGTACACTGAAGTCCCGGGCCGTCCCCTAACAACTCAACTCCAAGCCCCTTCAGTCACTCCCTCATGGTGACTACGTCCTGTGTCACCGCCAGGTTCGAGACGTCCAACAACATCCTCCGCGAGGAGTCGGGTCTCTCCTACCCGGGAAACGAGCCGGAGACGGGCCGGTATGTGCAGACGGGCAGCTACGAGTTCGTCCATCCCGACGGCACCGTCACCAGCATCCAGTTCATCGCCGACGAGAACGGCTTCCGGCCGCTGGGAGCCGTCATCCCCCAGATCACCGAGCAGGTCAACATTCAGGACGCCTAGTGAGGTTCACCAGACGCCAGACAGGCCCTGGTAGGCTCCACGGGCCGCCGACCGGGATACGATGGCATGGGGGTTAAATTCTACGGCGCGCGCTTCGGCAGGGAAAGGTCATTAGAAGATGTGAACGGAGACGCTGGTGCTAACTCAACCGTTGGATGCCGGTTCTACCGATGGGCTTCCAAACCTACCGGATGGATGTAAAATCTACCGAAAAGCTGCTAGTTTTACCAGGGTATCTGCGAGGCCCGCCAGCGGGTCTGTGCCAGCGCAGATGTCGATACAACCAGCTAAGGTCGCCTGGCATTCGGCAAGTGTTGGAGCTAAACTTCTGCGATATCCACGGCTGGCTCGATAGACATAAGTCCGGGTGCTCAAATATTTCATTTTCATGTGTCCATGATCAGTGATCACGCGCAGAAACGTATTTAGGGATTGGGTATATGTCAAAAGGGGTTCGGGGGATCACAGGATCGCGGGATCACCTGCGTAACGTATTTGATAAATGTAAAAAGTGATCACATTATCGAACAAGTTAATGGTCAAGAAGTCATCTATGTAATGTGATATGTTTCTGGTCAATACAATGACATAAATATATTTCAACAAATGCTTTTATGCTACTTTGATCCGACATTTACCACAATCAGCGACCACAGCTAGACAAAATCTTACTTCAGAGTTCAGACAGTAGACTAGACAAAACGCTATGCGGGTTAGTCGTGTAAAGTATGTTGGATCGAAGTAAGGTAAGGATCGAAGTGACGCAGCTAGCTGCACCTAGGTAGTAGTCGTTAGCCGCTGGCCCCGTATCAATATCCGTCTCTGCGGGCCGCCCCTCACCCCCCTGGCCACTGACCGTGACTGGGCGACCTCGAGCAGGACTTCTGTGTCCGTCTGGCCATCCTGCGCCTCGTCCTGCTCCTCCTCCTCCACATAGGTGCTGATCAGAGCGGCGTACTCGGCGGCGTCCGACATCAGCTTGGCGTGGGTGCCGCTCTCCACCACCCGGCCCTCCTTCAGCAGACACACCGTGTCGCACTGACTCAGGTACTGAAACACAAGGATATTCAGCGACTGAAAACTGGCGTAGTCAGGGACTGAAAACTGGCGTAGTCAGGGACTGAAACACACTAATGTAGTAAACAAACACTGGACCACGCGATGTACAGGTGCTGAGACAAGTCACATACGCACAGAAACATGCTTACGCCTACGCGTACGCTTACGCCAAATATGCCGTACCAGTACAGCAACTGCAACCAATCTGGCTCAGGTACTTGCTCATTGTTCAAGGCTCAAATAACTCAGCCGGTGGTGAAGAGCGGAAAGTAACTGGACCGGTCCAGCCTGTCCCCGAGTCCCACCTGCAACTGATGAGTGACGAACAGCACCGTCTTGTCCTTGAGAGCCGTCTTGATGTACTCTTGGAAGATGTGCTTTCCGACGTGCGAGTCGACGGCAGCCAGCGGGTCATCCAGCAGGTAGATCTCTCTGGAACACAGACCATGACGAACGTCAGCTAAACAGCGGCGAATGCAGGACTTTTCAGCCTACACAATACAACATAACCCAAAATCAAAACAAACATGACACAGCTCATTATATCTTGAGATGCATCACTGCCCTTTAGAATTAACAATTCAAGTCGTTGTTGTTCATTTCATGCCTATGCAATGCAAGCATACCTTTCGCATTATAATGAATGAACATCGATACTCGGCAGTTCTTGCTACAATCTGCATGTGCAATTCATCCTAACGTCAAGATAAGTCGTGGCGGCACAGCCCCACAACATCGTAAGGACTCAGGGAAACTGATGTTAGGCTGTCAATACCCCAGTAGAGATCAGGGATTGGTCGATGAATAAATAAGCGACAGAGCCATGGCGTCAGCTGCCTAAAATTGACCCATAAAGCGATAAATAAAAAGGATAAGTAGAACTTTTTACATTGCGCGATTTTTGGTAGCTTTATTAGTTCATTGATTTAGAAACTGACGATAAAGTCTTTCGTTAGTTGCGCAATGGCTTCCAATCTACTTCATTCCGCACCGTTCCGTGCTTCTATCCTCAGGATACTGAAATCCTTCTCCTCCACGCCGCAACCCCCCACCGGGCTGGACAGGCAACTTAATCTCATGCGGGCTGCTCCCTTGGAGCGGCACCGCTGCTCCCGAGGGAGCGCACCCCGTAGCCGGGTGCAGTGAGTGCCTTGGGGCTGGGTGGCCTGTCCTCTGGACGGGCTCAGCCCCGGCGACTCACTAGGGTGCCCGCCCAGACCAATGTCTCCCCCTTATTCCTATCATCCTTCCGGCTCTGCAATGGTCTTGTCGACCGAAAGGGCCTAACCCAACAAAACAAACAAACAAATCATTCCGCTATTCAGAATATTATAATTGTCATATTATGAAAGCGATCACAATCAAAAGAGCAGCCCAGCTCGGCTGTCTGTTCGACCACAGGTGCACTCGTGCCTCCGCCACCTCCACTAGCCACGTGCCGGGCCCGGCGGCGTACCGGAGCCACCAGAGACGGACGGGCGCCACTCCACCCTGCTCACACCGGCAGCTCATCTGCAAACCGTGCATAGATCCCAACCGAGAGAGTCGAGTGCGGCACGCCCGGCACACGGCCCGAGTCGAGGGGTTCGAAGGAGATCGGCGCGTGCTGGCAAGGTCGGCTGGGTAGTGAACGGGACAGGAGACGGATGGAGGTGTCTTCCCCGATCTCAAGCAGGAGAGGCCCGTACCCAATGACCGGCACCGGCCGGGATATAGGGAGGGGGTAGTGCAAGAGCCAGAAATGCCGTATCGACTCGACGAGTGGTTGCTGACACATATCGTAGCCAATATTTTTTGCAAAGAACTGATAATTCGTGAATACTCGCAACACTCCTAATGAGGGAAATTTGTTATGTGAACGACAGAAAGGAGTTCTAAAAAAAAACTTCAACGCCGCAATTCCAATTTCACATCACAACGCCAATTCAACACCGCGATTCCAATTCCTAGCCAGGCTCGGCAGGCATCTGTCACCTCATTAAAAAGAGCTGATGGTCCCATAGCAATAGATAACTACAATCCAGAGCCATGGTGATCATCCTTTCCCCTTAAAGCGGCCGGTCTCACCTACCTCGACGCCTGTCGGCACCGTATACATCTGATCTCTTCCCGAATCCCACTGACCTATCTGCGCATAGTGCGCGCTCCAGAGCCACGTCACGCCCCAATATCTACCCGAGCCCCACTGGCACTGACCTGTCGGCGTACAGGGCGCCCACCCTCTGATCCCCGAGCCCCACTGACCTGTCGGCGTACAGGGCGCGCGCCAGAGCCACCCGCTGCTTCTGTCCGCCACTGAGGTTGATGCCCCGCTCGCCAATCTCCGTCTCGTCACCGCCCGGTAGCGTGGTGACGTCCTTGTGCAGCGAACACGCGCGCAGAGCCGTGAAGTACCTGCGGTGGGGCCAGGATAGAGGAGGTTAGTCGTGGAGCTAAGGGTGCGCGGGGTAAGCATTCACAGGATACAGTGTCGGTCCGAATAGCTCAGGCCATTGCACAGGGCCCAGAGCGGATGGGCAGCATGCAACACAGGAGCTCCTTGCCAACCGGCGGGAAACTTACATACAGTGCAGCACACCTACAGAGGCGAGTCGGTCATCGCCCTGCTTGCGAAGAACGGACACATCACTAAGAGCATAAAAAAGCAAGCGCTCTCCAAATTTATTAAATACATATAAAGCACGGTTCTATATTCTTGTAAATGCGCGCTGATCAGCATCGTCGTCACCTTTTGGCGTCGAAGCTGTGTCCGAAGCGGATGTTCTCCTTGAGCGTAGCGTTGAGGATCCACGGCTGTTGGCCGACGTAAGCGCACGAGCCGTCCAGAGCCACCTGGCGGGCGGGCGGGGAAACACGCAGCGGTTACAGCACCGCCGCTGTTGAAGGGAACTGACCAGCACACTGACAACTTTACGGAGGCATCGGGGTCGGGGATGGCAGGGCAAACTGTTCGATGAAGTTTGCATGAAACGTGAAAAAACCCGTAACAATTTATTTGAATACAGGGTCAGCAGTGAATGTCTGTTGAGCTTGAAAGTACCTCCTCCTGCCCCCTCCACTTAACCTGACTAGACCTGACCCTCCCCAGCCGCTAGCTTGCTCATGATTACGGCATGAACAAGTTGACACGTCGGGGCCTGACTGAGTCTTCTCAGCCAGGCTCAGCCCGCCTAACCTTACCTGATCGGACACTCACAGCTGGCCTGACCCTCCCCAGCTCACTTGACTCACCGATGACCTAATCTGATCCCTCACTGACCAGACCTGGCCGACTCCCACTAACCTGTCCGGACCGGAGTCGCATCAGACCCAGTACTGCCGAGAGCAGGGACGACTACTGACCTAACCTGGCCTTCTCCCACTGACCTGTCCTGACCGGAGTCGCATCAGACCCAGTACTGCCGAGAGCAGGGACGACTACTGACCTAACCTGGCCTTCTCCCACTGACCTGTCCTGACCGGAGTCGCATCAGACCCAGTACTGCCGAGAGCAGGGACGACTTTCCAGCTCCGACCGGGCCGCAGATACCGACCAGCGTGCCCTGTTGACATGAGATGGTCTTAGTGTGGGACCACAGGCTGGAGCCGGGGACACTGCAAGGAAACGCTATAAGTGGCCGAGCAACACCACTAGATACCATCAAGGGGAGGGTCACTATTGGACCGCAAACAGGGAGCATCAGCGGGCACAGACAGGAGCACGCACAGGGCAACCGGGGCTTCGGGCAGCATCCGAGGACACACCAGAGCACCAGGATGGCCAGGGCGAGGATGGTCTGGACGGGAAGCGTCAACCCTACCTTGGGTACCACCAGGTCGATGTCTATGAGGGCGTCACGGGGGGATGGCTAGGGGGCGCAGTACCTACCTTGGGCACCACCAGGTCGATGTCTATGAGCGCGTCACGGGAAGGGATGGGCAGAGCGGGCCGCAGCGCCTCCGTCTCCGCTCCCCGACCGTCGCCATTGGCGTCCCTGGTGACACAGGGTACATACCATATCAAAGTAAGAAACACTATGGACTTATTTCAAACACTACACTTTAATGACTCGTCCATAACTATCAAGAGGTTTATATGTAAATATGACTTCATAAACAATGATGATATTACTCCTCCCGTCACTAAGGATACATTCATTTGCCAGTTTGTTTGCTCGTACGTCAATTACTGACCACACGGGTCCACGCTTAGTCTACTTGAGTTATCTGTGAGCGAGGTCTACATGATAACAGTGTCCACGCCTATCTATCTATATAATATGCCGCCCAGTTGTGGTCGCCGAGCAAAGTCTGCACTAGTATCGGTGACTGTTCCGTAGCCCGTCGTTCAGGGTCTCACTTGTTCTTTGCCGCCGCGCCGGCCGAGTCGTTGTCGCCGCCGACGGCGTCCCAGGCGAGTGTGGCGCTCTGCAGAACCACCGCCTGGTTCACGTCACTGGGCACCTCCACGTACGGCTGCTGCTCCTCCATCAGCAGGATCGA